CTCGGTGGCTTTCGTTAGTAGTAGAGAAGGTCGAGGAGGATCTTTTGTTGGCATATGAACGAGCTTGTGGTTTTTGTGTAACATAAGCAACCAATTATCGAGAAATATTGTTCTTACATTGTAGCTTGTGTTTTTTTTTTTTGCTTTTGCACAGGTCGAGCTTAATCTTGTTAGACATTTGGTTGTCGATGTGTCATGCATTGATAAGAATCTTGACATGAGACTGATGCTTACTGCCAAAAGGAAAATGACGACTCTCACCATGAGTTGAATACGATATTCAAATGGAAACAGTTGAATCTTGCAGAAAGTAGTGGAATTTTTTTAAAAATAAATCATTTAAATTTATGAAAAATATTTTAATTAAATTGTGTTTGTCAAAATTAAATATTTATGTTTATAAATATATTAATTTTTTAAAATATTAATCTTTTATTCAATTATCTCCTAAACCCAACTTATTTCATTAATATTTTCGTTTTTATGTATGGTTAGCCAAATTTACAAGTATTTTTTAGGGACAACTGCAAAAAGTCATTTTAGTTGTGTCCATTTTTAAAAATGTCACTATAGGTTGTCCATTTTAAAAAATATCACTAACTAAAAAATATTAAATCATAAATGTTAAAAGTTTTAAACCCTAAAAATGGTTTTGACTCCTAACAAATCCTCAAAAAGTAAGTTTTTAAAATGAAAACCTAACTTACGTCATCACTTCTTTCATTTTTTATTTTTTCAATAAATTAACCAATTCTCTATTATTTATTATTGGGGCAATTGCAAGAATACCACTTTTGTGGTGTATATTTCCAAGAATGCCACTTAGGGGTGTCCATTTGCAAAAATATCACTAATTAAAGATTTTTAAAGCCTAAATCTTAAAATTATAAATCCTAAAAAATATTTTGACCACTAAAACCCTTTAAACCCTCAAAACTAAACCCTAATACAACATAGTTAACCCAAATATAAATGATATAATAATTTTTTTTTTGAAAAGTGTTATTTTTGCAAAATTTTTGAAAATGTGGCATTTTGTTTTTARAGTAGCATATAAAAAATGACATTTTAAAAAAAAATTCTCTTTATTATTTATTAGTCATATTAATAATTAACTTGCAATTTTTAAAAATAATATTAGCAATTTATTAAACAACAACAATTTTTACAAACCACT